TCTACTTTGCCATAGTTCTTCTTCAGTGTTGCGTTATCTTTCCTAACATCTTTTATATCTTCTTGGATAGCGTTTATTTCCTTTTTAATCCCTGCCAAATCTTCCTTCATTTCCTGTCTTAGTTTTCCCATCTCTCTCTGGAAGAGTTTTTCCATACTCTGCTGTGTCTTCAACTGATTATCTTCTATTTTTTTTTCTATGTGCTCTTGTATCTTAGTCATTTCCTGCATTAGGTCACAAAGCGAGGGTTCAGATTGTACGGAGAATCTTCTTGCAGGAATTGGTGTTGATGGCGGTGTTGTTGGTGCCGATGTCGTTGGAATTGTTGTTTTGTTCTGTTTAGATGTTCCAGTCTTTTTCTCCCCTTTGTAGTCAGCCATTTCTCTTGTTATTATTCTTAGTTACTTTGTTACTTATTTATTTTATTTTATTTTATTTTATTTTTTATTTTCCTCCCCTTAATATTCTTTTTTCTTCTTCTTTTTGGAAGATTCGTTGTTGTTGTTGTTGTTGTTTGTTTATTTATTTATTTATTTTATTATCTTTATTTTATTTTATTTTATTTGTATTATTTATTATTATTATTATTACTGTTGTTGTTGTGTGGAATTGTTGTTGTTGTACTTTTTGCAGTTATTTTGGTGAGGTTTTTTTTGTGCTGACTATTAATTATATATATATATATTTATTTTATTTTTTTATTTATTTATGTTGTTATGTTGATATATTTTGATTCTTCTCTTATTTTCTTTGGCTGTACTTTGTGTTTTTGTGGGTTTTTTTTTTTGATCTTCCTTCCCAGGTTCTCCGCTCTTCCTTCTCCTTCCTTCTCCTCCCCTCCCTTGCCCTTCTTCTTTCTGTCTAAATCCTTCGCGCGATGTTCCTTCCTCCTCTGTCTGTGGTTCCGCCCCTTTCTGCCTCTTTCGCATATCTCAGCCCCCTCTCCACTCCTCTGATGTTTCTGAAGCTCCACCCTTTCCTTCCTCTTCCTTCCTCTTCCTGTGTCTCCACCCCCTTCACGCACGTAGCGGACGCACGCTACGCTTCTCTCCTCTTCCCTTCGAGGCCTGCTCTTAAAGGTACCGGCCCGCTTGTTATATTTTACTTGTATTTCCTTCTATTTTCTTCTTCTTTCTTTCTTTCTTTCTTGAGGGAAGGGGGTGGGTGAGGATGGGGGGGGTTTGGGGGATATATTCAGCGGGGGTTTGGCGGGGTGGGGCTGTGGGTGGATTGCCAGGAGAGTAGGCTTACCTTGCCTTGCCTTGCCTCTCCTTTATATCTCCACCGCGTCTCTTCACTCTCTTTTCCTTTAGCGATTTCCTCTGGCTTTCTTCTTACTTTTACTCTTCCTTTTTTCTCTTCTTTCTCTCTGTTATATCTCTCTTTCTGCAAAAGTGAACTGTTGTACCCGCTTTCTATGATTCTTCCTGTCTTTTCTCCTTCTTTTCACTGTTCACCTTCTTTCTTTGTTGTGAGTGGAGGCCTGGATCCTTGTATTAACTGCCATTGTTTGATATCTTCACTTTCAAAAAGCCAGAGTTTATTCAACACTTATGTCATAATTATTCACATATGTCCAACAAACACAATTTTTCATTTGGAGAAGGAACTCAACATTCTGAGGAGCTCAGACACCTTTTAATTAGTATTTGAGTTGCAATAATAAATACAAACAAATAGCAGAAGAATTAAGAAATAGTACAGAAACAGGCTTGACATGTGAACAAGGTACAAGTGATGTTTAACAGAAATGTCCAAAATAGAAGGATTATCTGGAGCACTGCTTCTTAAACTATGGGTCCCTTCCCCAATGGAGTTCCTTAGATCAATGTTGAGGTCCTGAAAATTTTGGTAAGAGTAAAAGCTTTCTGAACATCACCTCATGACTATGTTAGACATTTACATGAATCTGTTGTGCAGTGTTTATAGTGGGCTCTGCAGAAGATGCTTTAGCCTTGCAAATGCTGATTTGTTTTTTTAATTGTTTTTATTGAAAATAAGATTATCTCCAATAGACTGGAGTGTGAACAGAGTTTTTAAAAAATATGTTTACAATGAAAGTGTGGGGGAAAATTATGTAAGGACAGTAGGAAGAATGGGATAGGGTTGGAAATGGGACGTGGGAACGAAGAGAGTCCAAACACCTAAAAAGAAGAAAAGAAAAAAAGAAGGAAAATAGGATGACTTCCAGGTTTTTCCAGATTGTGTTATCAATTCTTTTCATTTCTTTTTCTGCTTCTTTGCCCTCTAGTTTCTTTATTTTTTTGGTCTTTGAGATATCTTATGTCTCTTGAAAATAAATGTCTGGGTTGTCTTTTCTAATGAATTCTGTAATTTTTTCCCAAATTGTTTTTTGTCTTATTGTATTATTGTCTGTTAGCCTTTGTGTAAGTAGATCCATATTCATTATATCCCATACTTTCAACAGCCAGTTTTCAATAGTTGGTATTTCATTAGTTTTCCATAATTGCACTAATTTAATCTTGGCTGCCATTATAAGGTAGATAAAAATTCTATTTGTATTTATTTCCATTTCGAAACCCGTTATTCCTAACAGGAAATACTGTGGGTTAAGATCAAATTTTATCTGTAGAATTAATTCCATCTTTTTATGTATCAACCATCAGAAGGATTTGGTTTTTTTTGCACTTCCACCATAAGTGTATGAAAGTCCCTACGTCCTTCCCACACTTCCAACATTTGTAACTTATTCTACCCTTATTGATTTTTGCTAATATTTCTGTGTTAACTACCACCTGTAGAACATTTTATACCAGTTTTCTTTGAATTCCATGGAGTACGTGAGTTTTAATTTCTTCGTCCATATCTCTTCCCATTCTGACATACTTATTGTTCTACCTATGTCTCTGGCCCACTTAATCATTGCCTCTTTTACCTGTTCTTCTTCTGTTTCCCATATCAATAATTGTTGGTAGATTTTTTTTTATTAATTTCTTCTCCATTTTTAATATTTTATCCCAGAACACCTCCCTTGTTTCAAAACCTATCTTTCTGTCTATCAAGAAGTTTTCTTTTATCTGCCAGTAATGGACCCAGTAAAGTGACAAGTCGATTACTTTTAAGACTTCTGTTGCAACCCAGAACAGGAAACTGGACCCTCAGATGACAATCCACCACACTTGGCTTCAGAAAAACAATCCTTTTTGATTGATGAAAGATGCATACAAAATAGAGGAAAAATGCAAAGGTAAAAAATCACAGTAAAAATCAGCAACAAGAAATGTCCATAAACAAGATCATAAAACCCACAGTAAAACTGCTGAATCCTAGAACCTGTTAGCAATCCACTAACTGTACTTGGAACAACTAGAAAACCTCCGAGGAACAAGGCCACTAGAATCAGGAGACCTGCAAACGCTGGCACATGAAACTGGAACGATGCTTGGTCTGAAACTGTATTCAGGCCAGACATGTTTAAGGCTGAGAAATCTATCGCGAGACATTCCTGCAGGTTTTGTTTGGATTTCTTTCAATCTAGCTGACCCACGTAAACTTTGTGCTTCTCCCTGACTCTGCCAAATCTGCTCCCTCCTATCCTCATTAGGCAGGCCAGGTGTCTGATTCTCTGGAGAACTAAGACTGGGAGGAAATGGGAGTGAACTGTCTCCGCTCGGCCCGGAATGCATGTTCTCATGGGAAACTTGACTTTCGCTTTCCAAGGCTGAAGGATTTTCACTACTCAAACCATCATCATCTAAATTGGCCTCAGAATTCACATTGACATCTACATGGGCATCAGGAAATACAATCAAAGAATCAGGTTCAGGTTCACACACAGGCTGAACCCCAACAACTTCTTTTGATTTCAGGGAAGCTACTTGCCTATCCACTTTGAGTATCTGCTTGTATGTCAGCCATTTTTCTCTTGGTAATTCTCGTATGTGAGTTGCTTCATTCGGAGAGAACCACATCGGAATTTTGGCGTTAAATCTTTCTTTGTATTTGTTCCAAGTTTGGATGAGGGCTGCTCTTACGAAATGATTCTTAATTTGCATTGTCGAAGGCTTTCATGGCTGGAATCACTAGAACCTAGTGATTCTTAAAAAAAAATCTGTTTTTGATTTTCCTCTCCATACATAACTATGCCAACCTTGTATTAAATCGTGGCCCTCTAGGGCAAGTGATTTTTTTTTGTTTATAAGGCACCATTCCCTTATCCAGCTAAGCACTAAAGTATCGTAATAAATCTGGAAATTTGGTAGGGCTAATCCGCCCCTTTTTTTAAAGTCCATCAAGTTTTTGAAGTTTATTCTGTGTTTCTTCCCCATCCATAAACATTTCCTTATATCCTTGTGCCATTTCTTAGACATCTCTTTTGTTCTTATTATGGGCAATGTTTGAAATAAATAAAGTACCTCTGGGAGGATATTCATTTTAATCACCACTATTTTCCCTAATAAGGAGAGGTTTAGTGATTCCCATCTTTTTAACTTTCCTTTTATTTCTAACCATTTTTGTCATTTTTTTTGTAATTGTGAGTTACTGTTAATAATTATTATTCCCAGGTATTTCGTCTTTGCCAATTCGGATGCCTGTTTTTCATTGTAGTTCTTCTTGCCTCGGTCTGGGAATCTTTTCGGTTAGAATTTGTGTTTTATCCTTGTTTACTTTAAATCCCACCACTACTCCAAATTTCTCTATTTCCAGAATCCATTTGTTTGTTTGGTCAAGCGGGTCTTCTATAATACAGACAATATCATCTGTGAATGCGCGAACCTTATAGGTCTGGGTTTTTTTAATCCTTTTAGTTCTGTGTTTCTTCTTAAATTGGTTAGTAAAGTCTTGAGGGCTACTATAAACAATAATGGGGATAGGGGAAGCCCTGTCTTGTTCCTTTATGTATCGGAATAGACTCTGACTGATATCCGTTTATTATTATTTGGGCTGTCTGTTGGGTATATATTGATTTTATGGCATTTATAAAATAATGACCTGCGTCCATTTCTTTTAATATTAAGGTTATAAAATTCCAATTGACATTATTGAATGCATCTAAGAATAGCAGGGCTACTTCCTTCTGAATAGCAGGGCTTCCTTCCCTCTGTTCCTTCCTTCTCATAATATTCTATGACATTTAGTATTGTTCTGATGATATATTTTATATGTCTCTTCAAGAGAAAACCAGTCTGTTCCTCTTCAATTCTGTCACTGAAAATTTCTTTCAGTCTGTCTGCTATTATGTTGGCGAAAATTTTATAATCTATGTTTAATAACGATATAGGTCTATAGTTTCTAACCTGTGTACTTTCTGTATTTTCTCTATTTTCCTTTCTGTATTGTAGCTCATTTCCATGAGTCTGGTATTTTTCTTTCAACCATTACTTTGTTCATAACTTTTTGGAGTGGATTTATAAGTGTGTCTTGAAATGTTTTTTAGTAATTTGCCGTGAAGCCATCCGGCCCCGGCGCTTTGTTTATTTTTAATTTTCTGATTGCCTTCCTGATTTGTTATCCGTAAATACTTTGTTTTTATACCTCTTTTATATACCTGGGGTCACATATGAATTTCTCTGGCCAAAAGGGATCATAAGTGGAAAAGTTTAAGAAGTGTGTTGGGTGTTATTGGTCAAGCTCAGGACATGATTCTCTGAGAATAAAAGATATATTTCCATGTTGAGGTGATAGTTGAGACAGAAACACTAGTTATTCTATGAAAATAAGCTCTGAACATTCAGTGTCTGTTGAACGAATTCAGTTTGGCTGAGTTGGATCTCTAGTAGTCTGATGTCGTCTTCTTTATTTATAGCATTCATACTTTGCTCTAGAGTTGAAAGGACTCCCAGAGCAGTTTAAATATCAATCAAAATGAGACGAAACAGTCTCTCAAAGTTACAATCTAAAAGGGATGAGACATGTAAGAAAATGGGAATGGTAGGTGAGGGGAAGGGAAGCAAGGGAAGTTAAGGTAGAAGTTCATAATATTATAAAGTTTTTTAGCCTGAAGAAATGAATGCTAAATGACAGTTGTGGATCAAGCTGAATTCTCAGGAAGGCTGATGGAAGAACAAAGAGCAGATTTAGCATCTAGTGTAGATTTTTCTCATTACCTAGGGAAAACTAGGAAAGCATTAGTTGTATATTCATTTGCATCATTTATGCCGATCACACAATTCAAATTCAAATTTTCTTGACATAGAGCTCAGGGTCATTGGTCAGTTACCTATTTACTTAGGCAATCACTCATTGTCCAAGTAGGATTGTCTTCCAAGATCGGTGTACTGGCGGTGGGTCCGTAGGTGACTGTCGAGCCTTATTCTTGATCTGCATCTTCTCCCGCAGTGAGGGCATTGGTTTCCAGTGGAAGACAGTCCCGGTCAGGGTTGGCTTGATACGCCTTCCTCTTGGCACATTTCTCTCTTTTGCCCTCCATTCGTGCCTTTTCAAATTCTACAGCACTGCTGGTCACAGCTGATCTCCAGCTGGAATGCTCAAGGACCAGGGCTTCCCAGTCCTCAATGTCTATGCCAGAGTTTTTCAGGTTGGCTTTGAGCCCATCTTTAAATCTCTTTTCCTGCTCACCAACATTCTGTTTTCCATTCTTGAGTTCGGAGTAGAGCAACTGCTTTGGGAGATGGTGGTCAGGCAATGGGTTCCCAATCACATGGAATATTTTGAAGTTAAGTGTCACATTATGTCTGTTGGTGCATTCCAAGCAAGTGTCAAAGGCTTCTTTCAGTAAACAGGTAACTGAGCTGGTTTCATGGCAAAAAGAAATATCCCTCTATAAATGATAAGCTATATCCAAATTGAACAGTGGACCTGCTGAGTAACAGAAAGCAATATTTCAGTTTTCAACAGAACACTCATTATAGGAAAAAGTTACTGCGAACATATAGGTTTTCTTTTTTTGAAATATTTTTATTGTAAATTTTTGAATACATAAAAAGTGGTGGAACAATTGGGTTGGGATATGAAAGTGCAGAAGAAAGAGAGGATAGGGAGGTTCCTAGTAATAATACTGGGGAAGGAAGAAAAAAAGTGGGGAAGGGAAGAGGGTAAAAAGGAAGGGGGAGGGATATTCCTCACACTCTCACCCTCATTCGATCCACACATTCACGGGGAGGGGATTCTATCCATATTGTATGGCACTTCCAAGTTGTTCAGGGATGAATCTTATTTTTTGCCTTCTTGGAACTATTGTCTTTTCTGATTGTAGAGTGGAGGATGTCAGATTGTTCTATGAGTTTTGCCGTATTTTATTCAGCTGGTAGTCTTCTTTTGTTCATAGAGTAATTTGTCTTATAATTTTATCATTGTTGTTATTGTTGTTATTATTACTTTTAATTTTTTATATTATTATTATTATTATTATTATTATTATTATCGATTAATCCTTTTTTCCTCTAAATATTGGAGGAAATTATTCCAATTTGTTGTTTTGGTCATGTTACTATTTTGGGCTAATCTTTGTGTAAGAAGGTCCATATTCATTATATCAAGAACTTTCAACGTCCACTGCTCTATTGAGGGGATTTCCTGAGATTTCCACAGCTGGGCCAGTTTTATTCTTGCTGCTGTTATTAGATAGAAGAAAATCTTATTCATGTTTGTGTCCATGTCAAAGTCCATGATGCCTAACAGTAAGTATTCCGGTTTTAGTTCGAATTTTATTCTTAAGATTATTTCTATTTTTTGTGGATTTGTCTCCAGAAGGACTTAACCTTTTTACATCTCCACCACTTGTGGATGAAGTCTCCCTTTTCTTTCATACATTTCCAACACTTTCCGTTATTTTTTCCTTTACTAATCTTCGATAGTAGATCTGGGGTAAGGTACCATCGATAGAATAATGTGTACCAATTTTCTTTGAAGTCGGTAGAATAGGTGAATTTTAATTTTCTTGACCAGACTTCTTCCCATTCGGCTAAGCTTATTGTTCGCCCGATGTCCCTGGCCCATTTTATCAAATTTTCCTTTACTTGTTCTTTCTCTGTTAGCCAGCAAAGTAATTGCTGATAAACGTAATTAATTTTGTATCTGTTTTTAACATCTTGTCCCAGAAGGTTTCATTATTCTCGAAACCTAGCTTTTTATCGGTATTAAAGTTCTCCTTTATTTGATAATAATGGAACCAGGAAAGAAGTGGGTCATAAGTTTTGAGTTCTTCCTGGATTTTTAATGTTAATTCCTGTCCTTCCTTTTTTTAAATTTCCTTGTGTGTTAACCACTTTGTTCTTGGGACCTCTCTTATCTGATTGGCTTTGTTGGGGGAGAACCATAGAGGAGTTTTTGATCCGTTCGGGCTTTGACACCGCATTAACGGCAGTCTCTGAGGATGTAACACAAGCATCTGCTTTTCCAGTTTTGATGGATTTGTTTCGATCTGTTCAACTTGAGGATGTCATCAGGATTCTTGGGGAGGCGAGGCCTAACACATGCATCCTAGACTCCTGCCCATTCTGGCTGGTAAAGGAAGCCAGAGGGGGTTTGGCAGAGTGGGTAAAGGTGGTGGTTAATGCCTCCCTTCGGGAAGGCAACATTCCAGCCAGCTTAAAACAAGCTGTTATAAAACCGCTGTTAAAAAACCATCACTGGACCCCACTGAATTCGCCAACTTTCGGCCAGTTTCCAATCTCCCCTATTTGGGCAAAGTCCTGGAATGTGTGGTGGCCTCGCAACTCCAGGAGTTCCTGGTAGACACGGATTATCTAGATCCGGCGCAGTCTGGATTTCGGCCGGGACATGGTACCGAGACAGCCTTGGTCGCCTTAGTGGATGATCTCAAGCTGGGAACTTGACAGGGGGAGTGTGACCCTCTTGGTTCTGCTGGACCTCTCATCGGCCTTCGATACTGTCGACCACGGTATCCTTCTGAGACGCCTCGCGGGAATGGGCCTCGGGGGTACTGCTTTGCAGTGGCTCCAGTCCTTCCTCGAGGGTCGATCCCAGAAGGTGTCGCTAGGGGACTCCTGCTTGACCCCACGGCCATTGTACTGTGGAGTCCGGCAGGGTTCAGTACTGTCCTCTATGTTGTTTAACATATACATGAAGCCATTGTGATAGATAATCCGGAGTTTTGGGGTGCGGTGTCATCTGTACGCAGATGATGTCCAACTCTGTTACTCCTTTCCACCTGCTACTAAGGAGGCTGTTCAAGTCCTGAACCGGTGCTTGGCCGCTGTAACGGACTGGATGAGGGACAACAGATTGAAACTAAATCCAGATAAGACAGAGGTACTCCTGGTCAGTCGAAAGGCCAAACAGGGCATAGGGTTACAGCCTGTGCTCGACGGGGTTACACTCCCCCTGAAGGCACAGGTTCGCAGCTTGGGAGTGATCCTGGACTCATCGCTGAGCCTGGAGTCCCAGGTTTCGGCGGTGGTCAGGGGAGCTTTTGCACAATTAAAACTTGTGCGCCAGCTGCGCCCGTACCTTGGGAGTCTGACTTGGCCACGGTGGTCCACGCTTCGGTTACATCCCGTTTAGATTACCGCAACGCTCTCTACGTGGGGTTGCCTGTGAAGACTGCCCAGAAGCTCCAACTAGTCCAACGAGTGGCAGCCAGACTACTAACAAGAGCAGGGTACAGGGAGCATACTACTCCTCTGTTGCACCAGCTCCACTGGCTGCCAATTAGCTTCCAAGCACAATTCAAAGTGCTGGTGTTAACCTATAAAGCCCTAAATGACTCCAGCCCAGTTTACCTGTCCAAACGTATTCTCCCCTATGAACCATCAAGATTGTTAAGATCATCTGGAGGGGCCCTGCTCTCGGTCCCACCAGACTCACAAGTGCGTCTGGTGGGGACGAGGGACAGGGCCTTCTCGGTGGTGGCCCCTCGGGTCTGGAACTCTCTTCCACTGGAGATCAGAACTGCCCCTTCTATCTTGTTTTTTAGAAAACAGGTGAAAATTTGGCTCTGGAAACTGGCATTCGATGAGTGAGTCAATATCCTGCGATATGGATGGATGATGATGAACAACGATTTTATTGTGACGACTGACCATTGTAATTATATGACTGTATTTTGCTATTTTAATGTTTTAGTGTAATATGGAATATGATGTTTTCAATGATTGTTTGTAATATTGTTGTTGGAAACCGGTCTGAGTCCCTTGATGGAGGTGAGAAGACCAGTATACAAAATTTCTAAATAAATAAATAAATTAGAGTGGAATCTAGCTTTATATTTGTCCCATACCTGGATGAGGGCGGCCCTAATAAAATGGTTTTTAAAGTTTTTCTCTTTTGTGGCTTTGCCTCTCCACAAGTAATTGTGCCACCCCTGCATAAGGTCGTGATCTTCTAAGGCTAATAGTTTTCTGTTTTCTAGGGTGGCCCAATCCTTTAACCAACAAAGTGTTGCTGCTTCGTAATACGTTTGTAATTCTGGGAGGGCCAAGCCTCCTCTTTTTTTTTTAATGTCACAAAGATTTATATTTCTTATTCTGCTTTTGTGGCCTTTCCATACGAATTTCTTAATGTCTTTCTGCCAGGTCTTGAACAAGGCTTTTGTTTTTATGATTGGTAGAGTTTGGAATAAATATAACATTTCCGGTAGGATGTTCATCTGTATAACCACAATTCTCCCCAACATTGAGAGATTCACATATAGGTTTTCAAAGCAGTCAGGATGATATTTGTTATCATTGTTTTTATTATATGTATATGGGGCAAAATATAGCTTTTCAAGATTCATGAAGCCCCTGATTTTATGTCTAGACCCTTCAACTTCAGTTAGATTCCACAAGATACTGTGCAGGTAGGCCTCTCCTTAATGACTTAGTTGTGGTTTTGGATATTACTTTTTTAATAGAAATTTGATATCAGAGGCAAAAATAGCATAGATAGAATGAACAGGTGGAGCTGTTTTCCTCAGCCACTAGGTGTCACTAAGAGTCTATTTTGTACGGCTTTTAAAAAAATCTGATCTATTCGTGGAAACGTTAGCGCAGGAGTGTTTTGACCAGGTCATGTAACTTTGGGGCTTACTGAACAACACAATAGGAACACATTGTTTATAAATACATACCTTTTCAAAAACAATCATTTTTAGAAGTGCAACTGATGGGCGACTGTTACCTGCACTATTAGGTCAGGGTGGAATAGCTATAACAATACATGACATCAGGTGAGTTGTATAAATATAACAAACCCTGGCTTCAATGATAGCTCAGCTGTGTAGAGGCTCTGACTAGTATACATAGAAAAATCCAATAATTTAAAATGTTGGCATCACAATTTAAAGTCTGATCATGAATACCAGCTCAGTTCAAACCCAATAATTTTCACATTAGAACAAATATCAATAGAAATTCTTTCTCACCATATTCTTCTTCTCACTCCCTCTACTATAAGCCCCACTTCTCTTCCTTTAATTTTCTGACTGGTAGTCACTGTGGCTATTGCTATTGATGACCAACAATACTACAATGTTACATATTTTGTAATGGTGGCTTAATGACAGTATGATGATCTAGATCAGTGTTTCTCAAAATGTGCTCTGCTGAGCCTTTAGAGCTCTGTGAAGCAAATTGAGGAGCTTTGTACCTCCCCCCTCTTTCCCCCTTTTAAGTATACATGGCAGTAGCTCCTTATCTCCTTCCCCACCCCTCCAAGTGTGCACATGGCTGTACCAACTGCCCCTCCTCCCTCTTTCCTCATCCTCCCTGGTTGTGTATCTGCAAAGGAAAGGAACATGGTGGTGGCAGTCTACGCATGGAGAAAGCAGACGCAGAGATGGCCCTGCCAGCCCAACTGGGGAAGGAAGGAATGCAGAAGGGAAAGGGTGAGTGTGTGGAGAACAGCACTGGCTGGTGGGTGAGAGGCTGAGGAGAGGCAGAGAGAGGTGAGGGTGGTTGGCAACCCTCCTCAGAGCATGTGTGTGGCCTCCACCACTGCATTCCTTTCCATTGTGGCTACCCAACGAGCAACAGCACCACCAATGGCACATATCCTTGCACTGTGTCCTTCTCTTCGAAACATGTGCTCCTTCCTTCCTTCAGTGTACTTTCTCACTATTCCTTCCTCTTTTAAACTGATTTAGTTGCACATTTTGGGCCTGTCCGGATGGGCCCTCAGAGAGGTGTCTGCCTTGGTTCTCCTCCAGAGCAGCAGGATCAGAGGGAGGGAAATGCCCTGGAGGGAGGGGAAAGTCCAGTATGCCCAGACTTTGGAATGCTAAAAAACTAGACACCACAGTTATATGATGCTCCTCCCCCCCCCACACACACACACACAGAATAAAGTTATTTGTGAACTGATAAGATGATGTGAAGCTGTTGCCTGGTTCACAGTTCCTAGGGGAACTTGGTTATAGGTTCAGCAAAGAGGTCTAGATATCCAGCTTTCTATGAACATTCAATGGCGCAGAACCTCTTCTGTGTCAAGAGTAGAAATGTTCTGCTATTTGCATTTATGACTTATGTCTTCTTTATGACTTTGGCTAAGTATAATTAGGACTTTATCACACCATCCAGCTATCTTGCCACAAATGTATGGCATAGAGAATAGATAGATAGATCGAAGTTTAGAGTGTTCACTATCATATCTCTCTACACTAGTGGAACTGCACTGCTTTGGAAATCTGTGATTCCATGATTCCACTTCTCTGAACATAGGCATAATGAAACAAAAAGTAGGCAAGATGGGTATTCTGGTACACATTCAAATTGGCAGCTGAATGGATGTCGAGTTGTTTTTCTTGGATCCTGATCAATCAAGTGAGATTTGCAGAGCTGTCCACTCCCACATTTACCTACATGGATTAGGATTAAATTAAAATGTCCAAGACATATAGGGGAGTTAAATCAAGCAATTAATTGATTTCTTTGCTTTGTACAATGCATGGCAAAAGACATATAACTGCTTATGTTAAGCCCCCATCTTTGAATTGCCTGATTTGTGCACTGGGCAAAAATTGCACACTCACTTGTGCATTCTAATAAACTGATTTTTTTTTTATCCAAGACCCTGGCTTCATGATAAGAAAATAACATTTGATTTGTTTCCTAAAGACACAACTTGAAAGAACTTGGAATGAAAGCCAATTCTTCCTGCAAAATGTACCAGCCAACTATTCACCTATTTTGAACAGTGTCAAGGCCTGTCCTTACAGCAGGTGGACAATGACTATTCTTCCATAGCATCCAAGTTAAGGCAATGTTGTGTGAAAGCTTTGCATGTGGAAACATGCAAAGAACAGTTGCAGATGGTGCCACATTCCCACTTTAGGGCTTTCAACTCTTTTTATTGATAGCTGCCCTGAAAAACAGGTCAAGTGGAACATTTTAAAAGTATGTGAAATTGTGTAACAGTAATCTGTACCACCCTTACCAAATGATAACTGGGAAGTAGGCAATTTAACACTTGTTGCTGCCTCCAACAGAATCCTGGGAGTTTTTTTTTTACTTCAGTGAATTTAGCTGCCTCTTTTATTTGCTGCACTTTAGTAAGTTGTCTGTACCTCTGTTGGGGTTTATTAAATGGTCTTAATAACCCATAATCACTGTGGAGTCAATCCTGACTGTCGAGATATTGAACTGAAATTTTGTAGGTATTGCAGGGTAAACCAAATTAATCTGGTTTAGTCCCACAACAAGAAAAGTTGTTGTGGATGCTGCAAAATTTGCCTGCAATTATAGACCAATCTCATGGTTTAGGGGCAGTGAGACTGCAGGATCAGGTCCGAGTCACATTAATCCTAAAATACCAATGCATTATCTATTCACTACAGCTTGCTGCTTTTAATGCAAGACCATTTTAATGTGTTCTTGTGTTTTAAAGTAATTAATATGTTTGTACCAGCTTTTGTTTAACATCTGGCAGGTGTTCCATGTCTCAGAAAACCATAACAATGGCTTACTGAATAACAGACTGAATTTCATCATATTTATTGTCAATAAATTTCATACCCTCATTTTGAAGCTAGGCATTTTACAATATTTCCCAGTCCAGCCTTGGTAACATTGACACATAAATTTTTCTTTCATGGCCACCTTGTCTTTCCTCTTCATTCTTCCTACCACATAGACTTTGTTTGTTGTTTTGGAAAACCTAATCTTAAAACTCTGAGGATGCAAGTGCAAATAATCAAAAGATTCACTGTCTTTACGAATGCATCTTCCATTCCTCTTACAGATGATTTTGCTACAGATCTTGGCTGCGGTGGTCACATTAACAATGTAATGTCCAAGGAGACCATCTACGTATTTTTTCACAGTAAGACAGCTCTCCTGAAAAAAAGCAATGACACATATTGGTTACTTCACAGGTGGATATGCAGACTTTAGTCCTTTAATTGAGGATTATGGTGATTTAAACTGGCAGAAATAGCTGGCACTGTATTTAAATAAACAGTCTAAGGCAGGCATCTTCAAACTGTGGCCCTCAAGCTGTTTGGGCCTTCAGCTCCCAGAATTCATGACAATTGATCAAGCTTGTTAGGGCTTCTGGGAGTTGGAGGCCCAAACAGCTGGAGGGCTGCGGTTTGAGGATGCCTGGTCTAAGGGATCAAGAACACTATAGGCGAGGACATAATTCAAGGTCATAATCTTGGTGGTGGGTCCGTTAGTGGCCGTAGAGACCTATTCTTGATCCCCATGGTCTGTCACAATGAGGACATAGATTTCCAGGTGGAAGGTGGCCCAACAAGATTTTGCTTCCCCTCAGCATGTTTCTTCCTTTCACGCTCTATTTGTGCCTTCTCAAAGTCCATAGCCTCGTTGGTAACTGCTAAATTCCAGTTAGAATGTTCAAGTGCCAGGGCTTCCCAGTTGTCAGTGTTTATGACATATTTTTTAAGGTTAGCTTTAAGCCCAGATCAAGAATAATATTCACCCTCTCATTACAATCCAATTCTTTGCATTGTCAAGTACCTCGACTTGTTTTACTTATTCACTTACTCATATATCAGCATTCTAGAACACATCGAAAAAGAGAACTGATGCATCCAGAAAGCCAAAGTAAGCCCATTCAAAATGGAAAGAAGCTGCATGTATGATGAAGGGACAGTCATTTTACTGGTTCCCCAGTTCCCACCTCAACCAAGAGCCTATCTGTGGTACTCAACTATAGTGTTATCATTTCACTTGAATTGCTATGGTTCCATCCTATGGAATCCCGAGACTTGTAGCTTATTGGAGCATTCTGGATTAAAATTTCAAATGCTCATCCTTATAAGTGTAAAGCACAGGATTCCACAGAATGTAACCATTGCTCATAGGGGAATCATAACACTTTGATGTGTAATGTAAAAGGGCCCCAGAACACAAGTTAGCTTTCAGATTTAAACAAATACAGCTACTTCAAACAAAAAGTTATCATTGAAATGTACTTAAACAATCAAACAATTTCAAGCTTAATAATAATAATAATAATAATAATAATAATAATAATAATAATAATAATAATAACAATAACAATGCACATAAAAACAATGCAATTAAAAGTTATTTGGTACGCTATTAATTTTTTTATTTAAAAAAATCAGTTCACAGTGAAAGTTCATTCACTTGTCTCACTGATTTTCCCTGAGTCTATTGTTTGCAGGCTTGTTTCGGGGGGGGGGGGTGAGTTTGGTTTGGGGGGGGGCTGAGTCTGAGTGAAAGAGGGTCTACCCTAGCAAACCTTTTGTATCATTACCCCAATACCCCCATGCATATGGGATATATGTACCAGTAAGGCCTTCTCACGGACCACCCCCAAGCCCCCCCCCCCCGGTTACATGCCTGATTGTATGCATCATTAAATCAGGATCCAGCCCAACACCTTTCAACAGAATGGTTACATACTTAGTCTAGTGCAATAAAGCAATTCACTTCATTAATTGATGGGAGCCAGGTTTGTTTGTTTCATTTTTTTTTCACTTTGACACAGCTAGAAGAATTATTATATAAAGACATAAAACTGCATGCCCCATAACCAGCTTATTTGCCCACTGGACATTTTTAGAACAGATATTGCTAGTTGTTATTTTCAATAAGGTGCCATCTAATTTTATTTAAGAAATCAAATCCAGAAGTGTCTGAACATTCACTACTTGTTTTAAAACTTGATTAGTGTGGGATTATTAGCTGGGAGAGAAAGGCAGGTTATAAATAAAGTTAATAACAATAACAATAATAATAATAATAATAATAATAATAATAATAATAATATCCTCCCATTCACACAACTGTTTAGTGAAAAAATCTTGACACCTCCAGGAAATAATGGATTTTTCTTCAAAAATTGTATTGTGGAGAGAACTGGAGCTACAAAAAGAAACTGGGATGGCACATGGCACATGAACTACACGTTGCCTACCTTTGCTATCTGGTGAAATGGTACCCGTATTCTCCATAAGGAATCCTAACTTGATAACCTCAGTAGACTATAAGGATTAGAAAATTGACACTATTTTGTGAATACAATAGTAGGGGGATGGCTCCCAAGAATTCTTGTCAAATTTAATTGGCAGGCATGTTTTAAGAAAGTCACTTACAGAAGTACTGGCATACTTCATGCTTCCCCAAAGGATGACTCCTGCTGCCCCCAAGGCTGCACTCTCACCAATAGTGTGCACCAAATCAATCTGAAAAGTAAGGCATTAATAGACATGATATTATAGAGCATTATACAGTGAATCAAGAACCAAATCAGAGGCACCACTGCCTCTGTCACTTCACTTCAGTTGCTGCAAACCTAGTTCAAATAGTCAAATTAGTTTCCACTTGGTTAACTCCACAGGGAAGAGAGGAAAGGGTAGAAACTTGCAAAAGCAACCTGTTGCAGTCTTGACTAGCTTGTCTGTTCTTCCTCATTAGTAACTTTTGCCATCCTGACTAGCCATGCTCTTCTTTTCATTTGTGGAAATGCTTTTGAAACACTCCTCCAAAACACAATAAGCTTTGCTGAACCCCCAGTTTGCCAGAGCTGACAATAACATGAATGTTTACAGACAATGGTTAATAATCCAGAGAGAGAAAGAGAGATCACAAATGCCTTGGTGAATTTAACTGACATCATGTGGAATCACTCAAATTCCATATTTTCAAGTCTGCAGTGTATACATAAATAGATGTTCGCACATGTACTAAGAGAGAACAGAAATACACATCAGGAAATCCACTCCTGCCTTTCAGTGAATTCTGTACAGAATTTAGCAGCATTTCTTCTTCTTTTTATTAATTAATTAATGTATGATAAATTCTGTTTTATTTTAGCATATGTTAATTAGTTCTGAGCTACAGTACAAAATTTGACAGATAGCATCATTATTATTTGTTTACCCATTTCCCCTATCTTTCATATTTCCCTTGCTATTATTGATTTGACAAAGCCTTTGTAAATCAAGAAGTGCCTATGAAAAATACTTGCAACACTGGTTTCATCAGAGACATCAAATGCAACTAACATATTAGTAAAGCTTTTGAGTTTTCACTGGAATTCATATATAAGATTTTGCCTGCCAGAAGTATGTGAGTTACCTATTTTTTCAAATGGGCAAATGGATAAGGGTAAAATTGATCAAGTACAACAGTGAGACAAAAATATTATTCACACATTCTCTACTTCCTATGTTGTCTCTGATTACAAATCTATGTAGTTCATATCTCATCATGTAGTATGTAGTTTAGTTCTAAATGGAAATAATGTGAAATGTCAACTTTGGGGATGAAATGAATATTCAGAACAACACAAAATTAATAGAAAAACATGTGTTTAAAGTATCAATGAGTCTTGAAATGAATCCTGAACTGAAAAGAATCAGTAACTTATTCTATGCAAAATATGGAGTTTTGTGTAGAAAAACAAACAAATGGTTTTTCTTTAAAAAAATGTAATTGGGACATTCCATGAAAAATATACACATTTACAATATATTTTCTTTGTTTTTTGTCGCATGTATTTGATGTTCCACATTTTGTTGAAAAGTGATGTTATTTTGTCTTAAACAGAAAACATGTTTTTATACATATAAAACAGCACTTCTATTCAACTATATGCAAACATAGTTTCCAGGTTTTAAAAAAGTTTTTTTCCTAGTGGAAAAAAAATAAAAATATCTGAAAATACCAATTGCTTCCTTTGAGAGGAAAAGTAATGATAAATTACATGTCTAGTAAACAGCCAGGCAAAGACCGTAATGACCCAAAAAGCTACAGACCAATCTCCTTGTTGTGCCACCTCTACAAAGTTCTGGAGAGACTTATTTTGCATAGAATTATGGAAAATATAGACCCCTGTCTGATCCCACAGCAAGCTGGCTTCAGGAAAAGGCAAAAGCTGCACATCGCAAGTGTTGAACCTGACTCAGCACATAGAAGATGGCTTTGAAAGGCAGCAGATCACAGGAGCTGTCTTCATAGACCTGTCAGCAGCCTATGATACTGTGAACCACCGCCTCCTCCTGAGAAAAATGTATAATATCACAAAGGACGACCACCTCACCCGCCTCATAGGAAACCTGCTACAAAACAGGAGCTTTTTTGTTGAGTTCCAGGGCCAGAGAAGCAGATGGCGGAAACAGAAGAACGGCCTGCCTCAGGGGAGCGTGCTTGCTCCATCCATGTTCAACATCTACACAAATGACCAGCCACTACCAGAAGGGACAGAGAGTTTCATCTATGCTGATGATCGTGCCATTACTGCTCAAGCAGGGAGCTTTGAGATGGTTGAACAGAAGCTCTCCGAAGCTCTAGGTGCTCTTACTGCCTATTACAGGGAAAACCAGCTGATCCCTAACCCATCTAAAACACAGACATGTGCCTTTCATCTCAAGAACAGACAAGCATCCCGAGCTCTGAAGATCACCTGGGAAGGAATCCCACTGGAGCATTGCAGCGCACCCAAATACCTGGGAGTCACTCTGGACCGTGCTCTTACCTACAAGAAGCACTGCCTGAACATCAAGCAAAAAGTGGGTGCTAGAAACAATATCATACGAAAGCTGACTGGTACAACCTGGGGATCACAACCAGATACAGTGAAGACATCTGCCCTTGCGCTGTGCTACTCTGCTGCTGAGTATGCATGCCCAGTGTGGAACACATCTCACCACACTAAAACAGTGGATGTGGCTCTTAATGAGACATGCGCATTATCACGGGGTGTCTGCGCCCTACACCACTGGAGAAATTACACTGCTTAGCTGGTATTGCACCACCTGATATCCGCTGGAAAGTAGCAGCCAATAGTGAAAGGACCAAGGCAGAGATATCTCCAGCTCATCCCCTGTTTAGGTATCAGCCAGCACATCAACAACTCAAATCTAGACATAGTTTTCTAAGATCTACAGAGACACTCGCTGGAACACCTCAGCAAGCGAGAGTCCAAAAGTGGCAGGCTCAAACCCAGAACCTCAACCAATGGCTGATACCAAATGAGAGACTTCCCCCTGGGCACACAGAGGGCTGGGCAACTTGGAAGGCGCTGAACAGACTGCGCTCTGGTACCACAAGATGAAGAGCCAACCTTCAGAAATGGGGCTACAAAGTGGAACCCTTGACATGCGAGTGTGGAGAAGAGCAAACCACTGACCACCTGCTGCAATGCAACTTGAGACCTGCCACATGCACAATGGAGGACCTTCTTGCAGCAACACCAGAAGCACTCCAAGTGGCCAGATACTGGTCAAAGGACATTTAATCAACTACCAAACACAAATTTTGTATTTTGTCTGTTTGTTTGCTTTGTTCTGTTAGAAATGTAATATAATTGACTGGTTGCCCTGACACGACAAAAAAAATCCACTGCTATTACTTGTCCTACAAATAGATATGAAATAAAAGTTTAGCAGTCCATTTGCAAATTATTGAGATTACTTGACCAACCTAGATGAGACTTGAACACTTTGCCATTTAGGCTGCCCATGCTTCCCTCAACTCCCCTTGACACAGGGCTCTTCCAGACAGGCCTTAAAATGAGACCTGTGCAGCTTTTACTGGAAGCATCCAAAGAACGCCTCTGGTAAAAACAAATTCATGTGGAGTAAACTGGGTTGCCCTGGTTTACTCCATATTAAATGCTAGATTAGATCTGGCTCTTAATGAAAGATCGAGGTCTAATGAGGTATTGGGCCTGTGGGAACTGACTACTGGTACTGCTTCCACATCTCCAGAAGTCAGTCCCCACAGCCATCCTGTTTCTTTGGGACTTGGGGATGGCTTCATGCTATCCCAATTTCAATCAGGATAGGATGTAGCCACTCCTGAGGGATTGCCCAAGATTTGGCTTGAGAGGACTGAAGATTAGAACCTGTGCCAAAGTGGGTTACTCTAACCTGTTTTGACTTGGGGTTTAGGTATGTCTGGAAGCACGCTCAGGGCTACTTCTACTCTGCCATATACTCCAGATTATCAAAGCATACATGCTTCAGAGTTTTCTTGCTCACTATGACTAACATTTATGCAAAGGGTCTGCTCCCATGACAGACTCCTCACAACTGGAAACACCAGGTGATTGGACTTACTGACTATATGGAGACTCTTAAGTGCATTCATTCTTGCAAAACCTGCCTCATACTAGTAATAGAAATTAGAAGCTATGGAGAGCGATCAACTAAATCCTATGTTCAATAAATAAGAGGTAGAAGAAGTGTGGGCCATGGTCTCTAAGTAGCTCTCAACTCATTTTGTAACCTCAGTGTAATTCATTGCCTTCCCATAAAAAAAAAAACCTCAAAATAGTTCCCATGACCTTTAGGAGCCATTGATTCCTTTTACCTTGATTCCTCTCATGGTGTTTTAAGTTGAGGGAACAGTCAAAATCGGGCTGATTCTGATCCCTTCTTTGGAACATACCCTCTCCTGGGCCTAGAGGACACAGGATGCACTATGAGTAAAATAGTTTTAGTCTTTAAAATAATGTAAGGGTGCACAGTTCCCTGAGGTCCAATGAGAGGTATGCTGTGGTCTCTAGAATCTTCAACCCCCTAAGTGTTTTGGACTTCAGCTCCCAAAAATCCCAACCAGCTTACTGGCAGTTAGAAATTGTGGAAATTGAAGTTCAAAACACCTGGAGGGTCGAAGTTTGCCTATGCCTACTCTAGACCTTGGGTAATTGCACTAAAAAGTGAGTGGTAGGCAAGGTATATGTACTTAGCCCTAAAGACTTGGCTTTATGAATCCCACCAATTCAAAGTGTGGTTTACTAGAGAGGTAGAAAATGTGTGATAATGCAGATGCTATTAATTTGCAACCCCGGCAATCAAGAAAAAGATAGTGAGGGCATTATGACAATTTTATGTTGCTCAACTTGAATGTTTCTCAGCACAAAGTTAACTTTGTGCTGAGAAACATTCAAGTTGAGCAACATCAAATTGTCATAATGCCCTCACTATCTTTTTCTTGATTGCAATTTTCCATGGAATCATCCGCTATTCTGAGTAATATAAACATAAAAATTAATGTTGTTTCTTCACTGCAGAGCACTTATTTCTGTTAAGAGTCATTCTGAGATTTCCCATGTGAACTCTTGTATAGTATTGTTGTTTAACTTATCCACATGGTGAGATACACATGCAAACAGTCAAGAGCAAGTGATCCCAAAAGACAATATGATTTCAATGTACGCAACACGATTTCCTTACCTCTGACAAAGGCTCAAAGGAATAGGAATAAAAAGGCATAGAGTAAACAAAAATGGGTAAAGCATAGTCGTTCCTAGCTATAGAAGCAATGCGTATTGCCTCCTTAACTCGATAGTGTACAAATTTCAAAGCATTTGTACTTGACTTCAACATATATTCCAGGTATATTGAAGGATAAAGGGCAGTGCTTTCTTTCCAAAGCCAAAGCAGAAGATCATTACGGGAATATTCCAGATCTGGGCATTTGCCTGTGTATGTCTTGGTCTTAATCTTATAATCATAATTATAGCAGTCTGGGTACAGATAGTAACCCCATAACCCTTTTGGTCTCATATCTTCAGCAAGAGTAAGGGTGCTGGTCATAAAATTCTTGCCAGCATTTTCAAATTCTTCCTTAGCCTCTTTGAGAATTGAATTCTTTGACCACTCAGGATGACTTTTTTTAACAAGATCAAGAGATGTGTTTCTGTAAATTACTTTTTTTCCCCAATTCCTGTCCCACTGAGGTCTCCAGTCTTCCCAGTCAATGACTCCAAGCCCTTGGAATGTCTTCATTCTAATTGAATGATCAATGTCTGACTTGGCCTTGTTTAGGTGATTGATGATGCTCTGGTTCTGCGGTATACCTCCCTTGACGGGATCTCTATGATCATGGAAATGAGGATAGTATCCCAACTGATTGGGATAAAATATTGTCACGGTAGGCCCATTCAAGGTGTCATTAGGATTTGATAGAACATCAAAAACGTTTAGATCTAAATCCACTTTGTAGCGTAGCCGGCATTGTTCAGTAGGTGCATTCCACACTACTACGAAAGGTTTACTGGGAAACAACGGAGCTCTTGTCGACATAGCTGTAGTCCCATCAGCCACCATAAAGAAGATCCATACTGGTAGGCAATTGATCCGTAGATGGCACATAGTATGCTCTCTTTTAGCAGTGCCGATACAGTAGCATCCTCAAAGGAAACAAAAGAAGAAGGAACATTGGCAAAAAAATAACCCAATGACAACAAAAACTGACAAAATGAACTTAATTAAAATTTGCAGTCCTAGAAATGGTTAAAAGCTGGCTCTAGACCAGGGATCCCCAAACTAATGTCCGCAGCCTGGATACGGCCTTCCAAGATCATTTACCCAAACCATGTCCTAAACATTAGACTTAGGGTCACCCTTGAAGGCACACAACAACAACAGTCCTAATTAACTTGACTATCTCATTAGCCAAAAGCAGGCTCACACTTCCCATTGAAATACTGGTAAGTTTATGTTGGTTAAAATTGTTCTTCAATTTTGATATTTTATTGTTCTTTCATGTTTTTTGCACTACAAATAAGATATGAGCAGTGTAAATATGAATTCATTCATATGTGTGTGTGCCTGACTCAATGTGTGTGTGCCTGACTCAATGGTCAGCACATCCCATGAGGGGAGTGTTGGCTGCCCGGGTTCCCCAATTGTCTCAAAGGCGACACAAGAAGCTTTCTGTTTTGCTGCGGCAGCGGCATGCGCTGGATCTTCTATAGGTTAACAACAGAGCCCTACCAGATATAATTCAACATCGTCTGATTGGAGCTGTTGTAAACTATAGGAGATCTGGCTCATGTTGCCAAAACTAAGCCCGTCTGATGAGGTCGTAAGATCTCTTTCATACAGCCTAATTGTATCATGGTCATGCATTTTGTCATATGGAATCCTGTTATTTATCATTTCAAGGAATACTTCTGCCAGAGATCATTATCGGCAATCATAGCACTGTAAATTAGTATCAAAGTACTATAAATGTTGAGGAATACTCTTTAATTCTGTGTGGACATGTATGGGACGAACTTAGTCTGATTCATGTCACAAAAACGAACTAAGCAATCACTCTCCAAAATCTTTCAGTGAAATTTTACCTGTTGACTCCAAAAACAAAACTGCAGTAGAATCATTCCTCTGTTAAAATTTCCAACCAATCCAAATTCTGATGTAGTTTTTGTATCAGCCCTTGTGATGGAGTAGGAACCTCAATTCAAGAGTTCTGTCCCAATGCCATTTCAATTAGTTGATCTAAAGAAGAACAAAATGGAGTGCTTGAGGCTTGTCATGTGCTCAGAAAAGTATCAATCTAGCAAGAAAGGTGATAGGAGTAGAGAACAGAATGACAGACAGACAGAGAGATCAATGGTTGAAGGGCTAAATTACTCATCTGCCTATCTAAGTCCTTTATGAGGACCACAAGCTTGACCAGGATGTAGTCGGGTTTCAACAATCTCTTGCTTCAACCATAGCTGCACAGATTCATTAGTCTTTCATGACATTTTTTTGGCAATGGCTTTATCAGTGTTGGTTCCAATATCCCAAAGTCAAATACTGAACATGACTCAATACAATACAGATTATTTAAAGTATTTCAAGTCTTCACTCAAGATCCCTTTCCATTGTTCCATTTGTATTTGTTTACCAAAATTTTGTGCTCATTTAAACTATACAATCCTTCACCTGTTCCTCCTCCATTTCATGTTTTAACAACATTTTGTACAGCTTGGTAATCAAATGATCATCTCCACAATCTAGAACAGATTCAGGTTCAGGTTATCAGTTAAAATTATTTTTTATCCATTAAACCGTTCTCTAATTTGTCTGTAAATAAACCATTGTATTGAGAAACTCTCTAACAATAACTCCTGTCTTTACTTTAGTCTGTATTAGTCTGTCATTATTCAATACCAGCAGGTCATTTATAGGCTAACCATTTCTCTTTAAGGCAATTTCCCTTCTAAACAAAGCATAATGTGGGCTGCACAATAATAATCTCTTTCTTTGCATAAAATCTGTGCTTGTAGTGATCATTTTGGAGGCCTGCTGAAATGGGAAGAAGCTGTAAAGAGCAGCATAAAAGAACACTGTAAGAGAGTGCTCCTTCAAAAATAGTGTCTGTGTATTAGGATATGTTTTCTGGCTGTTTGACCTCTGCACTGGAATTGATACCCAGTCCTGATCCTGAGAGCCTGTGTGTATCCTGAGGAATTTGGAAGCCTAGCTGTGATCTGTGAAACTTGGTATAAGTATTTGGACTGACTTCTTTGCATGACTTCTAGAATGGAAAGACTAGTTTGAACCTTTGATTGATGGACATTATTTTACTTGGACTACAGAATGTTATTTTGGGAAGATTAATTGAGCCATTTAACTTGGATCTTTGTTTTATAATATCAACCAGATGTTATCTTTATGTTGGTCATCAAAGACTCAATATATTTCAGTTATTGTTTCGGTTAAACTCTGCCTGCGTTACTGGGAAGGGTCCTGGAACATGACAGGTGGGTAGCTGGAACAGATGAGGAATTCTGTTGGTGTACCACCCATTTTTAATTTTTTAATTTTTTGTCGTGTCAGGAGCGACCTGAGAATCTGCAAGTTGCTTCTGGTATGAGAGAACTGGCCGTCTGCAAGGACGTTGCCCGGGGACGCCCGGATGATTTGATGTTTTTATCATCCTTGTGGGAGGCTTCTCTCATGTCCCCACATGAGGAGCTGGAGTTGATAGAGGGAGCTCATCCGCTTCTCCCCGGATTCGAACCTGAGACCTGTTGGTCTTCAGTCCTACCGGCACAGGGGTTTAACCCACTATGCCACCGGGGGCACCACCCATACCATTGCTCAACAATCTCGCTTTCTGAGCTAGACAGAGTGGTCTCAGGGGGTGGTGTTGGAGCCTCCATGGCTTGTGATACTGGGAGACATCCACACTGAGGCTTCCCTGTTAAGCATGTTTTGTGGGAATAAGGGAGAGAGCCTTCTCAGTGGCTACTGCCAGATCCTGGAATTCCCTCTCTAGAGAGACCAGTTGGAACTACCCCTGCTTGACTTTCACAGGCAAGTAAAAACATCTCTCTGCCATCAGACATTTGGGGAATGATGAAGGGCAGTCTGCTGGGGATGCTATGAGTAGGATTTGAGGGTGAGCTGTCTAGCATTTAACTGTCATTTTAATTGTGATTTAATCTTCACATTTTAGATTTCATATATATATATATGTGTGTGTGTGTGTGTATTCTTTGTTTTATCTGTATTGTATTGAGTCATGTTCACTATTGGTCACCTTGAGTCCCTATATTAGGGAGAAAGGTGGGATAAAAATAAAGTAAAAATGTAAATAAAAATATTCCTACAACCAATGGGAAAGTTTGAAAGTCTCCCATTTACATTAACTTCAACTTTTGAATTTTAATATATAGACATACCTCAATTAACAAAAAGAAGCTCCTTTTTACAGTCTTTTTATGTCCGTTGATCCTATGACATTTCTGGGTAACACTGCTATTGAGAAAGTGGCAAATCACTGAAGAAACAGACTTTGTTGTTGGTTTGTAACAGAACAAAGTAAAGGATGGAATATTGAAGTGGGAGACAATAGAGTTCTACTTTGTCAATTCTACTACAGCTGTGTGTACCTCTGCACTACACTCTGCAGGAGGAATCCTTTACTGGCTTTCAATATCATGTTAAAACTTGGAATTTTTGGCTGACTGGTTTTGACCTCCCCGTTTGGCTTCTTTCTGCTGATTGTCTAATAAAAGCTGTTGAATGATTTCCTATACTTGATGCGATAATTGGACTGTATTGCACTGAGTGAGCAAATTTGCTTTAGTGACACCTTCATTGTTTGAAAACACAGGGCTGTTCAACTTGTGATCTACTTTTTGCCAAAGGCAAAACATACATGTTTCATGAAAAAGCATAAGTCAAAAAACTTTACCATAATTACTCAGAAAAAGCTGCAATGTACCTGTTGCGAATAAGGTACCATTATGGTTTCTTCAGTTTGGCCCTTGAAGGGATGAATTGTTGTTTTTCTTGAGATCTAAATTATACATTATGTGTACAAACAGAATTAATTCTTCCCAGCTGTCCCAGACCTCCTTGCTGTCCACAGAGACAATTTCATCAAATTTGGCAATAAATTTGCTTTCTTCTTAGGGTATTCATTTTTCTTCACCTTCTTTGTCCACTCCATGCCATCTGTTACTTTATTGGTTCTGCTGTTGCTCTATTGTGCATAACTTTTCTAAGCCACCCAGGAAATGTTCTCAAATGGCCTTCATTTGATAATTCATCATTCTACAAGTGACAAATTCTTAAAAGCAGTTTGGAAAAGTTGCTTTTGGACTACATCTCCCAGATTCTCCAGCCAACAGAGCAAATGGTTGCAGTCCAAAACTAACATTTCCAAGCCCCGATCCTAACTTGAAGATTGATACTTCTTCATTGTGAAACTTCACTGTGCCATTTATTTATCATGTCAGGAGCAAACCAAACAGTTGTATTGCATTTTTAAACAAACAAACAAACAAAACACAAAGTTTGCAAGCTAGGTAGTTGATTAAATGTGACTAGTAGCTGGCCACTTGGAATGCCTCTGGTGTTACTATAAGAAGGTCCTCCATTGTGCATGTAGCAGGGCTCAGGTTGCATTGCAGCAGGTGGTCTGTAGTTTGCTCTTCTCCACACTCGCATGTCATGGATTCCACCTTGTTCCATGAGACACATATCTTCATGGCTAGCCCAAATAGGTTTTACCTTTACTGGGCATTATATTGGCAATGAAAATAAGATGATATTGTGGAATTTTAATGCAGACAGAGGTCACTCCCCTCATTGACTGAAAGAGCTGAGAGTGAAATCCAGATTTTGGTAGAAACAAGAGGAAACCAATGAACTCAACTATTTGAAGTTTTCTACCTGCAACAAATTCCTCACAAGGCAAATAAGGATACTGGCCTCAGAGTACATCAAAATATTTTAATACCATCTTAACTGGCAACTGCCACATCTACACTGATCATCACTTAGGTTGGTGTAGATTA